TGAGAGGACAGAGTTCCGTCACGTGGAGCCCCTGAGGTGAGAGGACAGAGTTCCGTCACGTGGAGCCCCTGAGGTGAGAGGACAGAGTTCCGTCATGTGGAGCCCCCCGAGAAGGTGAGAGGACAGAGTTCCGTCATGTGGAGCCCCTGAGGTGAGAGGACAGAGTTCCGTCACACGGAGCCCCCCGAGAAGGTGAGAGGACAGAGTTCCGTCATGTGGAGCCCCTGAGGTGAGAGGACAGAGTTCCGTCATGTGGAGCCCCCTGAGGTGAGAGGACAGAGTTCCATCACGTGGAGCCCCCTGAGAAGGTGAGAGGACAGAGTTCCATCACGTGGAGCCCCTGAGGTGAGAGGACAGAGTTCCATCACGTGGAGCCCCCTGAGGTGAGAGGACAGAGTTTCGTGACGCGCCAAGGTCACACTCAGCAACCACCCAGCTCCTCTCTGGTTCCAGGCTCCACCTTGCAGACTGCTGAGCATTAATGAGATTCTGCTTCACTCGCTGTAGGTGGGCTGGAGGCGACCTCGTCCCCTCTGGGTACAAATATACTGGTTTAACAGCTGCCCTTTGTAAGATGGCAAATCCAGACCCGGGGCTGTGGACTGGACTGTTAGGAAGGGAGCCACGGGGCCCAAGCGAGCAGTTGACCAGCTGCCCTGGGGCCGACCCCGACTACGGCATCTCCGTGTGTGTCTGGGAAGAACGGGGTTTCACAGGGTTGTCAGCAGCTGAGATTTTGGAAGGAGGTGGCCTGGCCTGTGTCCCGAGGGGCCCCTGGGTGTTCTTGAACCTCCGACCTTTTGGTAAGCAGATGAGTGTATATAATGTTCGCGCCACAAAGGGGCCAGAGAAAGGCAGCAGGAGCCACAGGGCAGCAAACAGGGCAGGAGGCCAGGGCTGCCATTAGAACTCCTCCAGAGACGAGACACAGGCGGGACGGGAGAGTCCGGCCGAGAGCTCAGCAGGGGATGCCACTGAGAAGCCACGCAACCCTGGCCAACCCAGGATCCCGGGCGCCCTGGTGCTGAGGGGCGGTAACGTCACAGGGCACAGGCTGAGCCAGCGTGCTGAATGATGGAGGAGACAGCTCTATTCGGAGTGTCCAAGGACAGACAGCAACCTTAGGAAGAAAGTGGGCTTGGCGGGGCAGAGAGGGAGATGCCTCAAGGACGGATACAGAAAGCCTGAGAGCAGACAGTGTCTGTAACAACTAAGTCTAAGAACAAGAACCAGCCAAGACAAGGGGCAGGAGTGAGGACAGACTTCTGGGCCCACAGCTAGGCGCAGCAGAAAATAGGAAACTTGCAAGGCGCAGAGGTCAGCTGACCCCAGAGTAAGAACAGAACTGGGGCCTGTGGAAAGGTTGTAACGTTCCACCTAACTGGTTTCTTTGTTTCAATAGAGGCCCAAGAAGAGAGTCAAGGGATGCCCCTATCACAAAATGGCAGATTGGAAGTGATCCTGATGCTTGTTTACAGAAAGGTTCTGAGACCCCTGGAGAAAAACCTTTTCACTGTTAACTGTGAGCTGGGAGCCGAGAAGGGCAGACGGAGAATGAAGCAGCCCAGCTCTGGCGTCAGGCCCGACCTGGTGAAACGAGGCTTTCCTACTTCTTGGGCTTCAGACTCGGGGACTCCTCAGCCCTCCTGAGCCGCCTCTTGCTCAGGTGTTGCTAGGAACTGTCGCTGCTGTTACCTGCAGACTCACAGGGACCCCAGGCACAGCCAGACCCAATCACAGGTCACTGACGACCTCTTAAAGAGACAGGGCACATCCTAGCTCTCGATCCTGCCCGTGTGCCCTTCCAGTGGATGCCCACCCTGCCCACCCCTGGGTATGTGCTCAGGTAACCGCAGGATGGCCACAGGGACTCCTCTCACCATATTTCCAGCTCTGGTCCAAGCCTGTACCTTGCTCCTTTGTTTTTGGCAATTTCAATACCTACATGCAGAGACAGAAAAGGGTAATTTCAGCACCCACAACACGTTTGACAGCACACGCATCTGCTGGGTGAGCTGTTGCTGTTTGTCAGCGCAAAGTCCACTCCAGCTCATGGCAGCCCCAGGTGTGCAGAGAGGAACTGCCCACAGGGTTTCCAAGGCTGTGACCTGCAGCAGCAGACTCTCAGGCCTCTCTTCTGAGGCACTCTGGGAGGTTTGAACCGCCAACTTCCAACAGTAGTCAAGTACTCAATTGTCTGTGCCACCGAGGGACCCCCACTGCAGTAGTTGCAATACAAAATAACAGTAATAATAGGTGAAATTTTAAAAGCCCCTTGATCTCCCCTCCTCTTGGCCTCCTGGCTACAAAGGACAGCACCTCCCAGACCTGCTCACACCCGACCAAAATGAGAAACCAGGTCAGACCGTTGGGCTGACCCTTAGCACTGAGGGCCCGGAGGAGTGGCAGTGGGAGGGGATGGGGGGAGGAGCATTCATCTCAGAGGTTTATTAACAAGCAAATGCTGAACACCTGCTGCAGAGTGTACAGCCATGAGGGGACCGAGTGGGTCCCCACGCCTGCCAGTCCAGCATGTGGGACCCATGCAGGCACTTGTTGGGTTTGGACAGCAGCTGCCGGCACTCTCTCTAAGGTGGCAGCCCCAGGCCACCTGGAAATCAGCTCTGGCCACCAGAGATTGCCTTCCTTCACCCCAACCAGACTTGCCTAGCTCTGATGAAGTGGAAGTAGGTTGATTAAAAAAAAACAACAACAAAGGGTTGAGGTTCCAGGGACATGGCAAGACGCCATGCTCAGATTCTGCTCTGGCAAACCCTCTGGGAGTGACCTGCTCACCAAGGGACCCAGGGTGCGACCTTTCACCCTCACCGTGCACCAGTCGTCCCACAAAGCCCACGCCCCGTTGTGTACGGTTTCAGCCTCACGCCCTCCCTTCCCTCCCCTCTTTGGGCCGTCCTCTCCCATTGCCCACCCAGCAGGGGCCTCAGACTGCCCACTGCAGGTCTCTCATGCCAACACCCCAGTCCAGCGGTTGACCATTCCTCCACTTACACACCCCCGAGGATCGGCAGCTGTGTCGGGCGTGGGGCCGCAGCGTGAGGACAGGTGCGTGCCCCGCCCCCTCCTGACTTCCCACCCCCAGCCTGTGAACTACCCGCCCGGGCTTTCCAGCTCCACTGTCCTCCCCGGAGTGCACATGCCTCCCGGGCGACGAGCGAAGGGGTTGGGCAAGCAGCTATCTGCCCCAGCGCAGCCCCCTGACTCACTCTTTAAAATCCTTTGCAAATTGCCCTCGAAGTCCAGGGCCCACTGGTTGAGCGCGCAGGTGGCCACGGTCACCTTCCGACCCATGCTGGCCTCAGTGGCAAGGGTATGCAGCCCGCCAGACCAAGGGTCCAACTATCAGTCCTCCAAGCCTGGGCGTGGCCCAGGCACCAACCCTTCCGGGTCGCCCCGCCCAGCCAGGCCCGCGGAATTGCGCGCCAGACCACGCCCCTACCGGCATGCGGGCGGAGCTGCGCGTCCGAATCCGCCTCGTCCACACCGCGTCCCTCACGCAGCCCGGCGGATTTGTACGTCAGGCCCGCCTCCTCCATGCCTCACCCCTCCCGGCGGGCCCACGAGGCCCGTTCGTCAGGCCCCGCCCCGCCCAGTGAGGCAAGCCTCTCCCGGCGAGGCCCCGCCCATGAACGCCCGCGGAGCAGCCTATCAGGCCCCGCCGGCCTTGTTGAAGCCACGTCGCGCCTGCGCGCAGAGGAAGGCCCGCAGAGCTGTGCGTCACTGCCCACGTCCGGGACTGCCCACCGCACTGCCCTTTCCGCTGGCACGGGCCAGACCCCCAGGCTGTTGGGACTGTGGGCAGGCCCAGGTGTCCCTCCTTGTTGATTTTATTCCGTGCTGCCGCTCACAGCCAGCATAGCCATGTTCTAAACGGCTGTGCTATGAAATGTCCCAAGCAGGCTCTATAACGTTCAAGGAGCGCTGATGGCGGAAAGGTGAAACGCTCCGCCGCTAACCCGAGAGTGGGCGGTCCCAACCCCCTAGCGGCTCCCTGGAAGAAGTGGCGCTTCCACCGAGATTACTGCCGAGAAAACGCAGTGGGGCACTAAAGCTCCGTCACGTGGGTACGTGGTGCGTGGGAACAGAGTCCAGAGCACACAAGGTCAGTTCAGAAAACATTCTATAAAGTAGTTCCTGTGGAATTAAAAATTTAAATACAAAATTAGAAGATGCAAAATTAAAAGTAAAATTAAAATGTAATATTTTACTATAGCAATAAGAGGCCATTATTAAGATCAGCAGAAGGGCCCCAGTTCCAGGAACTGGGAAACATATAGTTTTAGTAAACAATTCCCAGAACTGTAGATAACTAAGCCCTGAACCTAGTTCTCAGAATTAGAAAAGAAAAACTGGACGTAAACAATTCTCAGAAAATGACATCAGCCATCCGCACTCCCTCCAAAGAGTTAATGTTTGAACCAACCAATTACTTGTACCCTGCATTTCCCTCCAGAAAGACTATGTTTAAAATAGCAAATCATTTGTGTTTTACTCACACCAAAGTTTGAAATTAACCTATCACCTGAATTCCCTCTGTCCACTCCCCTCCCCCGACCAATCACTTGTACTCCCTCCACCCACACCTCCCCTCCGCCTTCTTCTAATGTACCTTTAAATAGTGTGTGTGTTAGATGCTTGGGGCTCAACTCCTCTGCCCCTGCGTGGGATATGAGTCGGGCCCCAGCGCGCTGGAACCTTGAATAAACGCCTCCTGCTTTTGCATCAAGACACGTCTTTCGTGAGTGATTTCGGGGTGCGTTATCCTTTGGGTTGGGGGAGCCCTGGTGAAGGACAACCCAACAGTTCCCACTGCAGTGAGGCGGCCTAAATACTGCCTTTGACGGAAACCCCTGAGCCCCTACAGCTCCGCCTTCTCCCCTCCTCCCAAAATCCAAACTCACTGTCCTCAAATCAGATCCCACTCATAGCGACCCCTCCTGGGGTTTCTGAGACGTTATCTCTACAGAAGTAGATTGCACAGTCTTCTTTCTGAGGAGTGGTTGGTGGGCTTGAACCCCCAGCCTTCTGTTTACAGAGGCAGACTGCCTCATCTTTCTGCCAGGGAACAGCTGGTGGATTTGAACCACTGGCATTCTGGTTAGCAGCCAAATGCCTTACCACAATGCCACCAGAGGTCCTCCCCTCCCCCACACCACCCTAAATTCTGGGGTATGTCACTCCTGCCCAGTGGGTATTTCTTTTCTACCTGGCAGTGTGTTGACATTCATTAAAGAGACAAGAAAGGAAGGAAAAATCAAAACGGATGTCAGAAGAGACTCTGAAACTGGCTCTTGAATGGAGAGTAGCTAAAGCAAATGGAAGAAATGATGAAGTAAGAGAGCTTAACAGAAGATTTCAGAGAGCAGCTCCAGAGAACATAAAGTATTATAATGGAATGTGCAAAGACCTGGAGTTAAAAAACCAAAAGGGAAGAACACGCTCGGCATTTTTCTGGCTGAAATAACTGAAGAAAAAAATCAAACTTCAAATTGCAATACTGAAGGATTCTGTGGACAGAATACTGAATGATGCAGGAAGCATTTTTTTTTAAAGATGGAAGGGATGCACAGAGTCACTGTGTCAAATCAAATCAAATAGGTTGATGTTCAACCATTTCAGGAGGTAGCTATGATCAAGAACCAATGGTACTAAAGGAACAAGTCCAAGCTTCGCTGAAGGAATTGGGGGGAAAAAAAAAAAAAAGGCTCCAGAAAGGTGATCCAACAGAATGTGGAAATTATTGAACTATATCATAAATATAACATACAAGTAAAATTTTACTGAAGATCTTTCAAAAACGATTGCAGCAGTATATTGATAAGGAACTTCCAGAAAGTCAAGCTGGATTCAGAAGAGGACATAAAATGAGAGATATAATAGCTGGTGTCTGATAGATCTTGGCTGAAAGCAAAGAATACAAGAAAGATGTTTATCTGTGTTTTATTGACTAGGCAAAGGCATTCGACTGTGTGGACCATAACAAATTATGGATAACATCGTGAAGAATGGGAATTCCTGAGCAGTTAATTGTGCTCATGAGGAAACTGTACATAGATAAGAGGCAGTCATACAAAAGAACAAAGAAACTGTATGATTTAAAATCAGGAAAGGAGCGTGTCAGGGTTGTATCCTTTGACCATACTTACTCAATTTGTATGCTGAGCATATAATCCAAAGAGCTGGACTATATGAGGAAGAATGAGGCACCATGATTGGGGAAAGACTAACAATCTGTGATTTGCAGCAGTCAAGAAATCAGACATCGTATTGCACTGGACAAATCTGGGGCAAAAGACCTCTTTAAAGTGTTAAAGTGAAGAGGTGTCACTTTCAAGACTAAGGTGCACCTGACCCAAGCCATGGTATTTTCAATAGCCCCATATGCATGTGAGAGCTGGACAATGAACAAGGAAGAGCGAAGAAGAATTGATGTATTTGAGTTGTGTTGGTGAAGAATGTTGAAAATACCATGAACTGCCAGAAGAACAAATCTGTCCTGGAAGAAGTACAGCCAGAATGCTCCTTAGAAGTAAGAACGGCCCAACTTTGTCTCATATACTTTGGTCATGTGGTCAGAAGGGAGCATTCCCTGGAGAAGGACATCATACTTGATAAAGTGGATGGTCGGAGAAAAAAGAAGACTCTAAACCAGATGGAGTGACACAGTGGCTGCAAGGATGGGCTCAAGCATCACAGGGATTGTGAGTGGTGAGGACCTGGCAGTGTTCCGTTCTGTTTGTACATGGGCTCCCTAGGAGTGGGAACTGACTCGGGCGCCTAACAACATGTAACCTTATGTAACCTTCAGCAATGCACGACATTGTTTTGCCTTTATTAAACTGAATACAAACTGTACCTGAAGAGGTGTTTACACCTTGGTTTTTTTTCCTAGCAGTGTTAGATGTATTCCTTTTTTTTTTTTTTAAGTGATTTGGGTGAGTTTACAGAGCAAATTCATTTTCCATACAGCAGTTCATACACAGAGACTGCGAAATCTACAGACTCTATGCTCCATTTGACCCAGAGAGCCAGGAAAACCAACGCCACCATCAGGTTTTCAAAAGACACGGTTCCTACAGACTGGATGCTAGGAGGTGGCAAGGGACTCTGCTGGGGATTGCTTTTACAAGTTACACACCGCTGGCTGGCCCCTTTTGCGAGTGTTGCAAGTCGAGGGATGTAGAAATACTCGCTCAGCAGCTGTTGTGTGGCCTCCTGGGCCAAATGAGTGGTTGAGTGAAAGTTGCTGGTCAGGGAGGGGGCCAGTAATCTGGGATTACTAGTCTTCCGTCAGGCACCTCTTCTGTGCTGCCACCCGGTTTTATCCTGCTCAGCCCCTTGTTGCAGCCACCATTTCTCCCCTTGTGAATGTGTTGGGCTGACTCCTGGCATCCAAGGGCGGACAGGTGTGGTGGGTTATGGCTTCCATTGGTCCCATGGCTGCTCTTTTTCTTCTCGATCGGCTTTCTGATTTCCTTGGGCCCCCTGTGTATTCTCCCGGTGCCCCTTACGATGTACTACCGCGATCCGAGTGGGATCCCACTCCACTCCAGTGGAGCGAGGATCTCAGCCTGGTGCTTTGTCGTTTTCCCTCCTGAAGTCAGGAACTCCCTCTCTTGTTAGGTAGGCCCGGCCTAGTCTGGGTGAGGGCCGCTGCAATGAAGTCTGCCTTTTTCTTCATTTGCCAGTTTGCCTCACACTTTGCTTCCTGGTTTCAGCTTATGACGACTATTTGTTACTTCCAAAAGGTGGGTGGCGTTCACGCTTGCGAAACTTTCTAGTTTCTGAAGTTTTCGGCGGATATCTCCTGCACTTTGGTTCACAGAGGCAATGTTGACCATCCATTGGTTTTCCTGGCTCTTTGGGTCAAATGGAGCATACAGTCTGTAGGCTTTGCAAAGTCTCTTGTAGAAAGTGCTAGGCTTTCCCCCTGGGTCCTGCAGGACTTCAGTCACCTTGTTGATGTTGATTGCCTTTTGGCCACCTCTCTGAATCCCTTGCAGGAGTGTTTCCCGGTAAGTTTCCAGGTTCCGAAGGCCTTCTCTCTCATCCTGGTCCCAATGGGGACCCATATCTGGGAGGCACCTGTGGGCATTCACCTGTGCGTTCATAAACATCTGCTGGCGTATTCTCCTCTGCCCACTGGGTAGTAGCTTGCACCCGTCTCCGCTCCTCAGTATTAAATAGCATGAGGAGAAGTTGGCGGCAGTCTGCCCAGGTAGGGTTATGGGTTTGGAAGACAGACTACATGAGGTCTATCAAAGCTTGAGGTTTCTTGGTGTACAGTGGGGTGGGATACTTCCAACT